AGCACCTACTTAGTACCAAGGAGAGTCACCACAGTGAACGTCACCACTAGCCAGCCAAGTGAATCTTCTTAGTTCTGTTGCAGTAAGCAGGCAGGGTCTTCTGAGTCTATGGTAGGAAACCTGTGCTCCTACAGGTTCTGCATCCTTGGGATGCAGAACAAGTCAGACCCTGCCTCGTCTTGGTGCCAGCATGAATGGAGATGGCTGGCACAAAGCTAACATGATGCTCTCTGAGAAGAGTAAATCAGGGCTCTAAGGGCTGGCAGAGTCCATGGTGATGTGATGAGACCCTGAGGAGGGACCATGGGAGGCATTTGAGAGAGGAGACACGACCTTTGAACTGGGTAATAATCCCAAGGCATTTCTGCCTACTATCTTACCATTTGTATATTTAGATTACATACCTACACCAGACCATCCATGTGATCCATATGTTCTGAGAGATAAAAAGGCTAAAGAAAAATACGTCACCCACTCTCAGGATGCTCTGTTTCTAACATCCTGACTCCTTGGGGGGTCTCGCATCTCCCTCTGGGCCCTGCAGTTCGACCCTTCTCTCCCTTCTTCCCCACTCTACCTCCAATGCATCAGCTTCCTAGGGTAAAATTGGGTGGCTCAGAGAGCCCTCAAAGCCAGGACTGTCTGATCAGCTAGGACGTGGAGACATTACAGAGTGAGCTAAGGAGGAGAGCCGCCTGGACCACACCCAGGTCATGAGTCACAGCCCCGGACCCCTGAGAAAGGGGGCTGATAAGAACCACTTCCCTGGGAAGTTGGGGAGGGAAGATGAGATAAGAGGAGAAAGTGCTTTGAGCACCTCAGAAGAAAGAAGCCACAAGCAGACCCAAGGTGTTATTACCCTCATTATGCCTCAATTAAAGGGACAGGCATCTGACTCCACCTCCACGAGGACTCATTAACTCCTGCAGCCCACACACGGCTGTATTTTAATGTGATTTCGTTTTTATTATTAACAGATAAGACCTTAAAATACTCAAAAATCATTCCGGCACGTAAAGACTCCCTTCCGGCTGGGTGGGGTCTCTTCCTTCCCACGGGGCCAAGAAAAGGGCCATGCAAGGGCAAGTGGGTTAGTGCTAACCCCAGGTCGTCTTTACAAAGATTTTGGAGCTACATCTTGACTCCTGAGTCCATTTTCCAAATCATCCTTCTCCTGCCCCCTTCACACCTTTCTTTCCTCGATCTCTCCCCCCCCCTCCATCATATCTGGCCCTCCGTGAGTGAGTGCTGGAAGAGTTGACTGGACATGCAGAGAAGAAAGACCAGTCAGACCCAGCACTTGCCCTCAAGCAGGTAGATGTGGGGCATTCATCCTTCACTGGCCTAGCTTTGAGAACTTCACTCTGTGCCAAGGCTGCGGGACAGCAGCATGAACGACACCCATTCCTGGCTGCAGGGACTGCACTCTTGCAGGTGGAGTGACCCTCAACCACCACAAAAGCCTGGCCCATCAGGACTTTCCATCTACCTAGAGTCTCCGAGCAATTTTAGGGAATTCAGTCAAAAACTATTTTAGAAAAATGTTTTCCGCTCCCCCATTAATGTATGAGCTGAAAAGCTGATGAAAACCTGGAACTTGGGGGGGGGGTCCCCCTCCTGGGGAAAGCCAGCCTGACATGGAAGGGAATATGAACAAAGTAGAACTAGAAGAAAACAGCACCTGAGACCCCTGACTCCAGCCAGAACTGAAGCCACCTGTTGCGCGTTGAGCCCGAAAAGGGCTCCATCAGCTCATGGGTTTGAAGGCTTGGTCCCCAGATGTTGAAGCTGCTTTGAGAAGTTGTGGAAGAAGGGAGAGTCCTGCTAGAAGAAGTGGCCCATTTGGGTTGGGCCTTGAGGTTTTACAGGCCAACCCCACTTCCTGTCTACTCTAGGCCTCCTGGCTTTGAAAGCTTCATCTTATTCGGACCGCCATGTCTACCTTATTGTGATGGGCTATAGTTCTGAAGCCATGGACTAAGATAAACCTTTGCTTCTTCAAGTTGCTTCTTGTCAGATATCTGATGACAGCAACAAAGTAACTAGCATATGCCATGCACTTGACCCTCGCGACTGTAAGACGCAGTGGGGTCACATTTATAAGCTTAAAACCAACGCAATCCTGACTCATCTGGGTCTGAACACTTCATGTCTCACTTGAGCTCCCTGGAACCCAGCAATCCGTGAGTGATTGGCTGAGACCACACACACACACACTCTTGATACCTGCCTTCTGCATGAGGTAATCTAGGCTCCATTGTGAAACTGGCTGAGGCTAGTCTCCAGCTGAGACGCATCTTCACGGAGCCCCTTTCCATCCCCACTGTGGCATCCTTCACTACCTAGTTTCCTCCCAAGAGTCCTCCCTCCATAAGTCCGTGACATAAAAACTCAACTCGGATTCTACTTACATTGTGAAAGTAGAAGTAGAAAGAATTAAAAAAAAAAAATCCAGGCCCAGGGTGATAGTGGACAATGGTGCTAGAGGCCATGGGGCATGAAGAGAACGCTATGCTAACACTGCACTCCTCAATACACACGGGTTGGGAGGTCCCTTAATCAGCCCTAGATATCCTATTCACCTTAGGATAAACAGACTAAAGCTTGCGCAAGGTCACGCACGCACGCTGGCACGGGGAATTGCACCCAGATCCACCCAGCCCAATGCCGCCACATCTCCTTCTCGCTCTGCAGCATATCCTGTATGAGCAGATGAACCCTGTAGAGCACTGTATGGGGTCCAGCCCTGGCAAATGTGCTGGTCGGGGGCTCGGAAAGGAGTTCGAGCCCAGCCTTTGCTTCTAAACGCCGCCACCTGAAAAGCTTAACTTCTCTGGGCCTGACTTTCTGATTCTGAAAAGCAGTAAGATTGGGGTGCTGCCTACCCTGCTACTGCAGTCTTGGGGTGCTTTGTGACATTTCTAGAACGTGTTCAATTTTATTTTGCCCATCTGCTTCTCCAGTCACCATGAGGGCCTGAGCCCCTGAGAACGCATACGTGGTCTGTTGGTTGATGCTTGCAGCTCCGGAGCAAGCATGCCGGAGATACTGGCTGAGCTGAATAACATGAATGGGGTGGGATTAAATTAATTTCAGTGTTACCGTGAGCCCCTCCTAAACTGGTCATCAATGGTTCCGCAGTAATACGTATTCCGCAAAGCCTGTTCTCCATGCAGCTTTCTCACCTTCCAACCTTCCCAGGAACCCCAAAAGGGCTAATGAGAGGAAAAGACTTCAGAATCGTAAAAGGAGAGGGAAATCCTTCTCAGCAGGGTCCCAAGTTCCTCTTCAGCTCATATGTAAGGATCTTCTGGACCACAGTTCACATTCACGAGATGGTCACCTCTCACCCTTGCTCCCTAGCTGGGCTGTGCCAGCAGCAGCCTTGTAGTGGCATTTCAGTTGTATTTTAATAAATAAAGACTGCCTGAAGATCTGAGAGTAAAACAGTCCCACTGGTCAGCCTTACAGACCAGGTAATAGTAACACACACCTTTAATCCCAGTAGCTATAGTGACACGCACCTTTAATCCCAGTAGCCATAATACTTGCCATAGAGATTGGGTGGTGCATGCCTTTGATCCCAGCCCTAAAGAGGAGCATAAGACAGAGCAAGACAGCTCTCAGAGGCAGGCTCATTCTGAGATTCCAGGAGGCAGAATCACCATTTCAGACTGAGGTCCAGGTAAGAGCCAGTGGCTGGCTGTTTTGCTTTTCGGATCTTCAGACTAAACCCCAGTGTCTGACCCTGGGTTTTTATTAATCGTGCCTCACAACCTCACATCACCAGTTACCTCACCAAGAAGCTTTATAGGCATCCAGACCCTGCTTCTTTCTCCTTCACTTCCTGTTGTTGAGCTTCCTGTCCTGTCCCCACATGGCCACATCTTTGCACCGCTGGCAAGCAAATTCAGTAACATCTCTGGCTTAGATACTTGGCTAAATCTAAAAGTTGCCCACGTGCTCAAGCTTCAAATGCTTGCTTCCCAAGTAGTGGTCCTATACTAAACGAACATACCCTTCTAGAAGGTGGAGTTCTGCTGATGGAAATACTTGGCTAAGGCCAAACCCTTGAAGACTATATATACCCAGTCCCTGGATCTTGGCACACTGCTTCCTTGTCAGCTAGGATGTGAACAGCCTCTGACACACACTCCCACTGTCACCCTTTGAGCGGACAAGCCATACCTTCCCACCATGATTGTTGTGGAATATTCCTTCACCCTGTGTGAAGAGGTGTCCCTGTGATTGGTTTAGTAAAGTGCTGAACGGCCATTAGCTAGGCAGGAAGAGGTTAGGTGGGACTTCTGAGGACAGAGAACTCTGGGAAGAAGAAACAGGAGTCAAGAGCAGGACATGAAGAGAGCAAGACATGCGGGAAGAGAGGAAAAAGCCACGAGCCATGTGGCAACGTGTAGATTAAAAGAAATGAGTTCATTTAAGTAATAAGAGCTAGTGGGACAAGCCTAAGCTACCGGCCGAGCTTCCATAGTTGATAATAAGTCTCCGTGTTGCTTCTTGTGAGCTGTCAACACAAAGAAATATCTTCCTACACATGATGTACAGAGACCCTCTGAAACCATGACCCAAAAGAAATCCTTCCTTCTTCAGCTATCGCAGCAATATGAGAGTAACTAATAAGGAATGCCTTAGGTGATGTCCAAAATCCTTATCATGACAGGAGTGGTTCCATGGGACCTCTGCATGACCTTAGCCACGCCCACAGCTCATCTTTCCACTCCATCTCATTTGTTCATTCTGCCCCTTTCCCTACTGGCTCACCACCACCACCCTGCACAGCCTATGCTCCTGCCACTAGGACTTCTTGGCTCTTGCTCAGGCCTAAAAGTCCATTCTTAGGCTATGTCTGGCCATTGCACTTCCTCTTGTGTCTCATTCCAGACTGATGTCACTCTTCTCCTTTGTCCTCAAGGGCTAGGTCCTTACCTATTCTTCTTGCCCTGCCTTCAACACTCCGTGACACCCAGGGCTTTTCTTACTTGTTCATCACCTGGTTTCTGCACAGATTCATCAGCATGTCTTGCCCACAGCTCTGTCCTCAAAGCCTGGAACCATGCATGGTCAATAGCGGAATCTAGGGATTAGATGAACGAAAGGGTAAACAAGAAAGGGGAAAAGCAAAGGAGTGTGTGGGCAGGCCCTATACTGCATCTTCACTGTGCCCATCCTGAAAAGTCTCCTCTCCTCTTCCGAGAGGGTCCCAGTTAGTCCCGGTGGATGCAAGAAGGCCTTTCCCAGTGTCTGGAACATCAGGCGACTCTCTGCTTCATGGAGCATGGGGTATCCCAAGATTTCAGTAAGCCTGGCTGCAGCCTGTGTCTATACTCTACAATCACTGACCCAATCCCATCTCATTGGTGGATGTGTGTGTGTGTGTGTGTGTGTGTGTGTGTGTGTGTGTGTGTGTGTGTGTGTAAATTTCTCCTCCTGCTTAACATAGCTTCTCAAGGCCTGGTACTATTTTACATTGAAATGAGAACTGATCCAGATAGGTATACCCCTGAAAATGATCTCAGCCTCATAGGGATTAACTCAGGGCAGAAGGTTTGGGACATGACATAGTATCAAATGAATGTAGCCTGAATTCCTTCCCTTTTGTGCCTTTATTGAATGCTACCAATATATAAGGCTCTGGGTTAGGTAGTACAAGAAAGGAAAAATAGCCATAAGCCCGAACCCTGCCTGCTAAGCATTTATGGTCCAGTTACAACATCAGTCTGAATCATAAGTAATCACCATATAAGACTATCAGCTAAGTGCTCGAGAGAGCCCCACCTCCAGAATTCCATTTCTTTCTATTGAACAATCCCAGGATCTGGCCCCGTGCCCACGAAGCACCTGGGGCTCAGTCCCCTTTATCTCACCAGGCAATATTCTGTTCCACAGTGTACCATCCATACTAACGCTCCCCTCTCCGTCTTCCTGTTGACTCTTCTCCAGGTGTGTGTGTGTGTGTGTGTGTGTGTGTGTGTGTGTGTGTGTCTGTTACAGTGAGCTTGCCCCAGACAAAGTGCATGTTGCTAAAGCCACTCCTGAGCCATATCTGCAGAATATGCTGTCCCCACACCTGGGAACTGTTTACGAGGCTTGAACTCACCAGTTTGCCCTAGCAAACCCATCCAGTTGGGCAATGCAGTCAAAAGGCCTGGGAGGAGAGAAATGCTGAGAGTCCAAGGGTCCCAGTGAGACAAAACTTGGCAGAAAAGGGCTCAGGAGCCTTTGGGTAAAGGCAAGGTGATTTAGATACACACACCTGGGGAGGGCAGGGGGTTGATGGGGGGGGGGGGGAGATGTCCCAGATACCACAAGAAAGCAGATGAGTTGGGAAAGAAGACGCTGTTGGACTGAGACCCGGGAGTTGCCGAAGTTTCTCAAATTCCACCACCCCCACCTTGAGTTGCTGAGATTATGAAATAATTCAGATTTATAATTATCTCTACTGAAGAACTGAAAAACCCCGAACCACCCCCCCCCTCCCCCAGCCCATCTATGGTGGCTTTTAAAGACCGCAGGTTGGACTTGCCACCACCCCATGAGCACTTTAGGGATCAGCGCACAGGCCCCCACAAAGCAGCTTCATGGATGTCAGCATGGAGAGGTTACTTCATCTATTAGCTGGCAATTGACATGCCAGGTGGAAACAAAGTGTTGAAATGCAGAATAGATGCATCCCCACCCGGAGGCATGATGAAACACTTGGAAGAAGCTTTCGCAGGCAGTTGGCACACGTACGGGAGGTGGGGGGGGGAGGGGGAAGAATGCTGGGCTAGGGACTCTCAGCTTCAATAGCCAGACTTGAACATGAGTCCCCTGTGCCTGAAGGCAGCAAGGCAGAGGGCAAGGAAAGAGGGGCTCCAGGGGGGTCAGCACATCTGCAAGGTGGCTGGGGGGGGGGAGCCTAAACAAGGTACAATTTGCCAAATAGATTCGACTCCTAGCAGCCTTACAGAGTCTCGGCTTTATGGCTGAGCATTCTGATGACTGGGACGAGAGGAGTTCTACAAATTCCTAAAAGTTCATAGTGAGAAAGGTTGGAAGATACATATATATCCCCAGAATGGGCGGGGGTGGGTGGGGGGTAATGAGGAAGACAAAAAAAAAGGGGAAGGAAGAAGGAGGGGCAAGAAGAAAGAGAAGGATGGAAAGAGAAGGGAGAGAGGAGCAGAGTAAAACGCTGTTTGCATCTGAAAGGCAGAGGTTCCAGACGTCTGAAAGCGATTTCCCGCTGGTGCACGGAATAGTGTGTGTATGAGTGTGCGCAAATGCGTGTGGACATGCATGCAGCTGGGTTAGAATGGTGCACAGATGCGCCCTCTTGCTGTGCTGTTGTTGCATGTGAGTCTGTGTATGTCAGCACGGTATATGCTTGCATGCATGCATCTGTGCAGCACCTTACAAGACTCGGAAGAGTTGAAACAGTACCATGACCTGCCTTGTGCTGGCTCTGTGACCTTCAGTAAGTCATGTCTCCAGGCTGCCTCTCAGTGTTCTGGCATGTTCTTCGTAGAACATTGCTTACCACGTAAAAGTCATCCAGTTAATATTTACTAAGTACTATCACTTTAGGGCAATGCTCTCTATTTAAGGAGATAAAGAAAATGAGAATCATATGCAAGACTACTCTCTTGGTTCTTGACACATAATAGAAGCTCAATAATTATTGGGTTTGTCCTTTTGGGGCAGTACCACTATGAACCTCAACCAACTCCTGAGCTCATTTCCGGAGGTTTCTGAGTTCCCATTGAGTTATGTATTAACCAGGCAGCTTAGCCCTGCTCTCAGGCAAAAACATCACACATTTGCAAATTTAAAAACAAGATTGAATTTTAACAGCTTGGAAATCTGAGGCCAGATTTGCTTTTTAGGTAATTTGGGATGGGGGTGGGGGGCCAGGCAGCTTGGTGAATGACCTGAGGTCCCGACTTCCTGTCTGGGTGTCGCACGTGTGGTTCACAATCACACGCGGCAGGAATTGTTATCACCCTGCAGTGGAAGTGGCCGGGGCCCAGAGAGGTTGAGTAAGCAATCCACCACCACAACGCTCACCACAGGCTGGCAGAGCTAATTCCAAACCCACCAAGCGATACTCAGAACGGGGGGGGGGGGGGGGGGGGGGGGGGGAGGTGAGCATCTCTGCACCTGAGCAGGCAGCACGAGGCCTCTACCGGCTCAGCCAGCAAACATCTCAAAATCTCTCGCTTGTGAGCTGCCGTTGAGTATTGCCAGATGGAGCCAGGGCCGTGTGGCAATCAGAAAACTAGTCAGGTGGCACTGGTTAGTGCCTCTGAGGTATTTCACAAACATGGGGAACAAACACATTCGGTGTCGCAATCCTGGCCACCCGGAGCTGCCTGCCGCGTTGGCTGTTTTGTTGTTGTTGTTGATATTTTTTTTTTTTGAGAACAGCCCCCCCGTGGACAAGGGGTTTGAGTTTGGAAGCTGAAGGCACTGGTAGGCAGAGACCAGAGGCCCTGCCCCCTGGAAGACCCAGCTCTTTCTAACCCAGTGCCCTCACAGCCATAGCCAGAGAGAAGGGAGTGTAACCAAGAGTTACCCTTCAAAGCCCCCAGTGAGTCAGTCACTCCGGCTCTCCCGTGTGTCATCTTTTCCCGTCGCATCCCTCAACAGGATCATGACCACTCATGGCCTTCTGCCTAGACCCCAGGCATGCCCGTTCTTCGCCACCTCCACGTCCAGGAAACACTATCTCCTCCCCCTAGGATGAGCCATTCACCCTGTAATCCCCCAAACAAAAGCTAATGAAGCCTGCATCTCCTTGGAATTTCACAATGCCCTCTGGGGTGATTAGGCTCCCTGGTACGAAGTGCCCCATAAACTCGGAGCCCAACTGCAATTGCATTCCTCTTGCTTCCCTAATTAATCTCCCGAGCACCTGCCTGGAAAGCAGGAAGTTGGAAAGGCTCGGTGGAGGTTTTCTCACTGCCCAGTGAATTGTTCCAAAGCCTGGTGGAAGGCCCAATAAAATGAATCCCCTTCAAACACTGGGCCAGAAGGAACTGGTGGGGGGGGGGGGGGGGGGGGGGGGGGGGGGGGGGGGGGGGGGCTGGAGAGATGGCTCAGAGGTTAAGAGCACTGGCTGCTCTTCCAGAGGTCCTGAGTTCAATTCCCAGCAACCACATGGTGGCTCACAGCCATCTGTAATGAGATCTGGTGCCCAATTCTGGCCTGCAGAGATACATGTTGACAGAGCACTGCATACATAATAAATAAATATTAAAAAAAAAAAAAGGTTGACACATTCTCTCTACCACTCTGTCGTGGGTTCTCACCGCTCAATTGCTTTCATACGTATGGGCTCCAAAGCCAAATTCCTGACCTGCAGCCAGCGCTCCCTGTCGACCACGGACAATGCTGGTCCCCTGATTCTTTGTCTCGTGTGTTTGCCTTTTCCCAGGACCCAAGAGGATGTCAGGCGCTCTGAGGAAGGATCCATTGCCACCTCTCACGTATCTTTCTCTTCAGGTCCCTGGACCACTGTGACGTGTGGGCAGCTCGCTATGAAATCGCTAGATGGGGGGGAGGGGGGGCATTTCCGCCACAGCTGCCCTTCTTGGGATGCTGATATTCTCCTGCCTGAATCGTGATGTGCCCAGTATAGGCTTTGTCCCCCTTCCCTGGTGTGGGATCTCTCCCTGCCCTCACATGCACACCAGGAGGACCCCTCCTTTCTGTCCCAGCCTCTCCTCTCTCTAGACAGGTGTCAGTCAGCCCCAGGAGATTAGGGCCCCACTTCAACAATTACCGGCTCATCATGATGTTAGTAGTTAGTAACGCCGGAAGGCATAGCCAGAGGAAAGCAACCACGATGGGGGCTTGGGAGAGGGAAGTCTACTCTCTGCTTCTAACACCAGTGATCCTGGTTAACACCAACAGCAGCGGGAGTGAGCTTGTTGCTGCTGCTTTCTATCAAGGAAATGTGGCTCTGGTCTCTGAACTCTGAACTTCAGAAGGAGACACAATTCTGTGATATGGATCAAAGTCTTTCTCCGGCCAGCCCTAAGAGTCAGTGCTACCAGTGAGGTCAGACTAAAGAAACAGCTAAACTCTTTAAAGGGACAAAGGAGTCACAGGGACATCTGCAAGACCGGGGAGATGAGGTGCTCTGTTCACAGATATAAACAGAGAAACAGACCCTAGCTCTACCCTGTGTCTAGACCTGGAACAGACCAGTGGTAAGGACTCTGAGCTCACCGTAGTCCCATCCAGCGTGGGAAGAGAGAAAAAGGCTTATCAAAAAGGCAGAGATAGGGTGAGAAGAATAAAGTTCAACCAGAGAAGCATGCTCGTTTTTATCTGAAGCAGCTTGGGAAGTCTTCCTGGAGGAGCGAGCATTTTAACTGGGTCTTTGAACTACAAATCCTAATAATCACTCCGACCCGCTAACCATAGTTGACATTTGTTATATGCAAGGCGCCATATAAACCTTTCTCGTTACTATTGCCTCGTGTTGGATAATTCTATGGGCAGACGGTGTTGCTATTTCCAGTATACAGGTGAGGACTGTGCTAGCATGATGACCAGCCAGGAGCTGTGGCAGTGGGGCCCCGATCTCATGAAGCGGACCCTCAGCTGTCTAGAGAGAGGAGAGGCTGGGACAAAGAGAAGGAGGGCTCCTTGCTGGTGTGCATGTGGGGGCAGGGAGAGAACCCACATCAGGAAAGGGGGACAAAGCCTATTCCCACTTGACAGAGAGTCTTTCTGCCCACAACAGATAACAAATTCGAGGCAAATTAAGGTGACTGTTGCTTTCAGAAGAGCAATGAAAAGCAGAAACAACTGAGGTGTTTGCTCCAAAGTTCCTCCAGTGGGGAAAAAAAAAATGAAAAGAGGGGAAATGACTAAAGTACCCATTTCCCCCAAAATAATAGCCAGCATTTACTAGGGGCACAGTGTATGGTGGGCTCTAGCTAGCACTGG